GAAGTGCAGCCTATATATGTACAATTATATTTTTCTTTTTAAATTTAGTGGGTGCGGCTTATATTCAGGTGCACTCAATAGTCCGGAAATTATGGTATATCAGCAATTTGTTCAATTAAACAGGCCCAGGTTTTTTTAGTGAGTCAGTAATCAATTAAATTAATTATATAAAGTAATTTTATTTCATTATATAAAAATATTTATAATGTTTTTGTGTTGCATTCTTTATCCAGTAGCAGCACAACTCTGTGCTTTCTTTCATAAGTTGAACAAAGATGACGTTGTTGCCAAAGGGGCTCTGACGCAAACCACCGAGAACAATATTCCTATGGGATAAAGTGCAGCGGTGCCAAAGTATGGCTGCTCTTGAAGGAAACCATACACACCGGCACGCAACAGGAAAGTACATCTCTGTGTTCTTTGATTGCACACAGGACTCACAGCAGCAGCAAAATATGCGAGGTTGATTGCGTAATTGTACAAAATAAATGGTCAGGAAAATGGAAATGCTTCAGGTCTGTCGTCGGCCGAGGCGTGTTTAAATGATAATGTATCAATCTTGCTGCTTTGTGCATGTAGGTGTTTGCATTACTCCTTTGTCTGCATGTGTTCAGACGTATATGTGATGTGTGCCCGTGAGAGAGGGAGATTCAGAGGAAAGGAGGCAGCCCTCTCTGTAGTGTCAGCCTTTGATCAGTGTGTTTGTGTGTGTGTGTGTGTGTGTGTGTGCTGTGTATTGGAGGCAGATGAAACACTGTGCACCCATGCACCACTCACAGAACACCCACTATGTTTCTCTGAGTCTGTTTTTCTGCTTTACTTTACCTCATTCCTCCTCCTCCCACCTCTCCTCTCGCCCTAACCCCTCGAAGCGATGATTCTTGACCACAGCCACTTTAAGGGCGATTCATGCAGAGCTGCACTTTCATCCTGGCAGCAACATTTTAACCAGTTTTTTTCTGGCCTTTTATCAGATTATGAAGTAAATGAGGAACGGGGTGAAGTGACCTGCTGCTGTAGACTGACTCACTGGCAGGGAGGCGCAGTGTGAGGCAAGAGAAGGGACAGCAGCTTTGGATCTGTTGCTGCGAGATAGCATCGAGATTCTGCTGAATCAGGACGTTTTGACACAGATGTAGATTTTAGAAATTAGGACACAAAGTTTGCAGAGGCAATAACTCCAGGCCAAAGCCGTGGAAAAAAAACTTTTTCATGAATTAACTCACAGAAAGGAGACAAAAGGGTACAGCACCCTATAAATATCTGCACTTTAATGAAGACTGCTTCAGTCTCTTTAGCCACAAAGGGCTGTGCTGATGTAAACACATTGCCGTCTGTTGCATTGATTAACTTAATTAATTATCTCATTTGCATAATTTGCAATGGTAAATATGATGGTGATTACATTGCAGGGTGTAGGAAGCCTATTTGTCTCCTTCTTTGTGTCTTACTAATTAGTTCATCCACACCAGCAAGTGGAGCTGTGGATCAGTTTTCTGACATTTTCTCGTTGTCTTTAAGCTTTAAAAAAATCTTTGTTCTTCTGCTCACATAACATTTCTTCATCAATTTAAACATACATCAATGAGCTTCGACACGTCTTTGTTTTCAAATGAACCCTTGGCGGATGCTTCTTTTATTCCTATAGAAATCCTAATATCCTATTTCCATGGCAACCTAGTCTGATATATTTAGTCCTGTCTTTGCCTCATTAAAGTGTCTAGTTACTTTAATATGTATATTTTAGAAATTACTCTTCCAATCAAACTATTATGAGGTGTATATTTATATATATATATTCTGCACACTCAACTGTCAGCTGGTGCAAACATACATTTGATTTTATCATTGCAATACTGATTTTATTACATATTTTCACACTGCAAGTTGTATTATGGCCAAATAATGCATCATGTGCAAAAGTGCATTTTTAAGGGCATTTGTCATATATATATATAATTGAAGTTTTCTTTATAAAATGTAACTCCTTGACATTCCAAAAAAAGTAGATACATATTTATAAATATGTACATGAAGTCTACCTTCAAATAGCAGACAGTATCTGGGAACAAATTCAATTGACATACGTTCTCAATATGGGATTTCATGTCAACCAGAGAGTCTCCGACTGGACTAATTCACATTTTATATTCACAAAACCCAACCTTAATGATACCTTTGGTCTTTCTCCACTTAGGTTTCCTCAGCACTGGCGATCAGTCTGCGAAGGGAAACTACGGTCTACTGGACCAGATCCAGGCCCTGCGCTGGCTCAATGAGAATATCGGCCACTTTGGTGGAGATCCAGAGAGGATAACCATCTTTGGCTCTGGAGCTGGGGCCTCCTGCGTCAACCTTCTCATCCTTTCTCACCATTCTGAGGGTAATCCCTACAGTCATTATATGTTATTTGCTTGCATGGTATAAATTTCATTTCTATTAACCCTCACGCACTGCAATGTTATATTAACTACACATTTGGTACAATACCACAGACAATAAATATCTTCAAATAAAATTGATATTGACATACTAGGAGTATCTTAGGGCAGGGGTGTCCAACTCATTTTCACCGGTGGGGTGGGTGTGGGGGGGGCACAGCAGCAATACAGTTCCCCTTGAAGGGCCGGTTGCAAATGGAACACACAGATGTAACTACCTTATAACCTATTAATAGATGTTTCTGCAATTGATTATTATTTGTTCAAGTGACAAATATTTATCAATGCTGTGTAATAAAGAAACACTTTTAATTTATCAGGTCAAGAAACTCTGCAGCATGGACTTTCATAAATGCTTTAAGCTCCTGCGGGCCATGCAAAATGACTGCATTTGGCCCCCCGGCCTTGAGTTTGACACATCTTAGAGGATGTAGAACAGGGGGGCTTTGATTTATGTCGGAATTCCGTTCCCTATGGCGCGAAGTAATGTGATTTTTGACCGAGGTTGGAACTCACATACTCCACAAAAGTACCCACGTCACTCATATAAGCTAACATAGTGGTAACATCATAGTCTAAAACATAACACCAGAAGAGTCTGACTTGCACCTGGGAGCCATAATGAAGGGCAAAATGTTCCCAAAAATCGATGCAAACGAAGAACGTGAATGTAGCACAAACCGATGTATAGTGTGCAACTGGCAAACGTAAACAAAGCCGTCTGCAGCATAAAGCACCACATAACGAGGTATTTGACCGCTCTGCTCGCCAACAAGTTCCCGTGCAAAATTAGTTTTAGTCAAACAAGACTTTCTTAATACATTTATGGGATGGCGATGCAACCATAAAGCGTTGTAGGTTGAGAACGGCATAGACCAAGGACCCCCTGTGTGAATCACATGTGTGTTTAGGGAGGTTAAACTTAGAGCTAGGTTTGACAAAGAGAACTTCACATTTACCAGAGAAGCCTATGTTAACCCTTTTGTTTCCTGTGAAAAGCTCAACTCCCCCAACCCTCCGTGTGTCTGTTCGAATCCCTCCACTTTGTCATCATCCCATTGTGATCATCGTCTCAGTCGTCACCATCAGCATCTAACACCAGCCTGCCACAGAGCTGCTTGTTTGTCATGCAACCTTCCCCTCCTTTCTATTCGTCCGTGTTGCCAGGTAAGGAGTCTGTTGCTCGTACCCTTAAAGAACACTCAGTCATGTCACGAATATAGCAGATGCATGCATGGTGCATAGCAGGTTGGAAATGGTGGGTGACATGACGAAGGATGAAGAAGGGTGAAGAAGAGAAGATCATTTAAAAGTGTTTCTAAGAGAAAGAAGAAATCTAAGAAAATATTGTTAATGAAAAAATAAAACAAAGCTCATCTTCCCCACATCTCCCTGTCTTCCTGTGTGGGTGAAAATATGAAGGATTTTTTTCCAGACTATAATTTCAGTTCAGTAGCAGCGCTTGATAATTAACTGATGAGTCAACAGCTCAAATAGGGTAAGAATAAAAAACGAAATATATTGGGCAGCACTTTAAAATGAATACACAAACCCACCTCCAAGCAAGACCTGTTTATTTTAGAATTTTAGAATCTTACAATCTGTTATAGAGTTCCATTTACTAAAAAAACAAAAACAAAAACAAAAACAAAAAACGTAAGCTATTTCTACAACATAAAACCACGTTCTGCAACTTGTAGCTCAAGTGACACACATTGCTGTTCAGGCTCTCCACATTGGCTCCTCGTGAGACCACTTTAAATGTTTGTGATTGGACCAAATTTATCCTGGCTGTCGTATTCACCCAAAAACATTCATGCATCGCCTAATAACATCACATTGAATGGTTACCATTGGAAGATAGTAGTGCATCCTGTATCTGTAGTCACTGATACTTTTGAGAACTGATACTTGTTTTAACAAACTGAACGATAAATCGAAAAAACAATACTATAATAAAATAAACTATAAGGAATGTAAAAAAACAAAAATGAAAATGTAAAACTGTACAGGAAACATGGGGAACAGGTGAAACAACAGTACTGTCTACAGGAGAAGTGGGAATGACATGTTATTGTTTGTAAATTTCAGAAATCTCTTGTCCCAGTCCTGCCTCAACACCCTGTGCTTTAGCATTTAATATATCAATCTGCTTCAGTCATGATATTTGTTTTTCTGTGTTTCATTTTGTGTCTCATTTGAATTCTGACCACAGCCACACACCACCAAAGACCTGTTCTGTCTGTACAGGTGCTAGAAATTCAGAAAAATAAATAAAACATTGTTTGGTCTGAGTCTGTTGATGAACTCTATGACACTAGAAGGTCAACTGTAGTAAAACAAACTTCTCCTTTCAGGTCTCTTCCACAGGGCCATAGCTCAGAGTGGAACTGCCATCTCCAGTTGGTCCGTCAACTACCAGCCACTCAAGTACACCAAGATCCTTGCCCGGAAGGTGGGCTGCACCTACTCAGAGACGGCCGACCTGGTGGACTGCTTGAGACGCAAAAACTTCAGGGAGCTAGTAGACCAGGACATCCAACCAGCTCGCTACCACATTGCCTTTGGTCCTGTAGTTGATGGTGATGTGGTGCCAGATGATCCTGAGATCCTCATGCAGCAGGTGAGTCATGGGTACCAGTGTGATGAGTAACACTTCGGAATAATGACTGTGTAGTCAGCAACTCAGCATGATCACTGACGGACTTCCCAGGGTGCATCTGTACTTCACTTAAACTTGATTGAGACAATCGTTCAACAACTCTATCAGAAATGATAAACAAGAGCACATTACTGTATGGGTTGTTTACTCTGAATCAAACAAGCCATACTGTATACCTAGAGTTAAAGATTTGGAACATTGAAGATCAACTATATTTAAAATAGAGTGTAATAATAAAAATGAATAGATGAATATTTCCTACATAGTGCAATTCACATTTCTTGACAAAAATTGCATTTGTCTAAGGATCCTATAATAAACTGAAAAAACCATAGATGTGTTCAGTACCATGTGCAAATCAACAGTAGGTTATGTCTTCTCTTCTTTTGCCACTAGGGGGAGTTCCTCAACTATGACATCCTTATAGGAGTGAACCAAGGAGAGGGGCTGAAGTTCGTGGATGACAGTGAAGACAATGACGGCATCTCAGCAGCCGCCTTCGACTACACCATCTCTAACTTTGTAGATAATCTCTATGGATACCCTGAAGGTGAGAAATGTCTGTTTCTGTTGTTTACCATGTCAACTCTTCTGGGGAGACTTTAGTCATTCACTTATTCATTCATCTTCTGCTGCTCAAGTCCCTGTTGTCCATATATGAAGGATGGAGAAGGACTAATGTCAAATTGGCTGTTCACCTCAACGATACTTTTTGGGGGTTTTTTCAAGGCGTCACATGCACATTTAACCTAAACTCCAGAAGTGCCCCAGAAGTGCAGTGCAAAAACAACATGTGGGCAGAGGAAATGTCTGTATAAAGAGTGTTGTTGGTGGATTCACAGCAAAGACAAGCAAGCTAAAGAGTCTGTCAATCACTGAGATTATCTTTCACAGTGGTGGCTCTGTGTTCTGGCCTTTGAGGCTCTGTGGGCATTAATGCTGCCTCTCATTATCCCCCAGGAAGCTAGCTCCCAATCACTATGCTGTTGTTCCTAACTGATCAACCTGCAAACTGCTCTCAGCGGGCCACAGCCAGAATACAGGCACACACTATAATGTATGCTGGCTGCATGACGAGTGTACTGGTTGAAGCAGATTCTTTGCTTTTGTCTTTAACATCTATCTGTGTCTCCTGTTTTTCTCAGTGTTTCTCTTTAAATATATTTTAGTAATTACAGTTTTGTTCTTTTTCTCTTCTCACGTCTTCAACTAAAGGCAAAGACATCCTGAGGGAAACCATTAAGTTTATGTACACGGACTGGGCTGACAGAGACAATGGTGACATGAGGAGGAAGACTCTCTTAGCTCTATTTACGGACCACCAGTGGGTGGCGCCAGCAGTGGCCACCGCCAAGCTCCATGCTGAGTTTCAGTCCCCAGTGTACTTTTATACTTTTTACCACCACTGCCAGACTGAGACTCGACCTGAATGGGCCGACGCGGCGCATGGAGATGAGATACCGTACGTGTTCGGAGTTCCCATGATCGGCGCCACGGATTTGTTCCCATGCAACTTCTCCAAGAACGATGTAATGCTGAGCGCTGTGGTCATGACCTACTGGACCAACTTTGCTAAAACTGGGTAGGCTGTTAATATTGTATTTGTTCAGAAATGTCAAAGTTTCTTTTTTTTAAATATATGAAACATGTATTTTTCATGACATTTCTTTTGTCAAATTTAAGTTTCTTCTCTGTTGTTCTTTAGGGATCCTAACCTGCCAGTGCCCCAGGACACTAAGTTCATTCACACCAAACCGAATCGCTTTGAAGAGGTTATCTGGACCAAGTTCAACTCAAAGGATAAGCAGTATCTCCACATTGGCTTAAAACCACGAGTAAGAGACAACTACAGGGCCAACAAAGTGGCCTTTTGGCTGGAGTTAGTCCCACATCTTCACAGTCTCCATGAGGTGCTCTTCCCTACCACGACCCGATCACTACCAGGCCCCCGTCCTAGCACCTACGGACCCTGGCCTAGACCGCCAGGTCCTCGCACCACTCGTCACCCATACCCTACATTTCCGCCGGAGATGGACGGAGACGGATCGGATCGTCCGCCCCAGGTTCTGTTCCCGGGAGACCCGCGGGACTACTCCACTGAACTCAGTGTGACAGTGGCTGTGGGGGCGTCACTTCTCTTCCTCAACATTCTTGCCTTTGCTGCACTGTACTACAAACGTGATAAGCGACACGAGATGCGACGCCATCGTCTGTCTCCTCAGAGGGGCGGCCCTGCCAATGACTTGGCCCACAGTCAGGAGGAAGAGATCATGTCTCTGCAGATGAAGCACTCAGAGCACGATGCTCACCACGATATGGAACCTCTCCGGCCACATGACATCCTGCGGCCCGCCTGTCCGCCTGACTACACACTGGCACTGCGCCGTGCCCCGGACGATGTCCCACTGATGACTCCAAACACCATCACCATGATCCCCAGTACCATCACCAGCATGCAGCCTCTTCATGCTTTTAACACTTTCCCCTCTACTGGCCACAACAACACCCTGCCACACCCGCATTCTACAACCAGGGTATAGTACGGACTGCTGTGATACAGCGCCACCCAATGACCAGCAAGACTGGCTGTGCTGTTGATCTAGAAAAGAGGCTGCTGGGTGTGGGCCTTTGTTCTGGTTTCTGACTATTTTGTCTGTCCCCTGCTGTAAAACCTTGGCGCCCTCCACTGGCGGAAAGTGGACAAGCACCTGGACGGCAAGTCAGCAGAAAATGCATTTGGAGAGGATCAAAACTTTAAAAAGATTCTGCTCTTAAGAGAAGTCTGCATTTTCCTGACTGTAGCTCTGTGACATCTGTCAAAGGGAATTTTAGTTTTGTAAGATCTCCCGTTTTATTCTACAGCTACGTCACCAACATACAGTCGATTCTTCTTTTTTCAACATTTGCCCTATCCATACATTGTTTCTTTGTACTCTGCAGAATGTGTTTCTGCTTAGTGACTCACTGTTGAAAACTTAGCAGGATCTGCAGGAGGATCTGACATCTCTCTCTCTCTCTCTCTCTCTCTCTCTCTCTCTCTCTTTCTCACACACACACACACCACACACCACATGGAAACCAGCATTTTTGGTGCCAAGTATGTTTAACTGTGTTTGTGTTCCCTTTTGAAGCAGATGGAGGTAAGAAAATTCTAGACTACTTCTATTTAGTGTTAACTAAAAGATGCTGTGCGCTCTCATGACAACGTGCCAAACAGGCCCCCTGTTGTTTTCCTCAATATAATTTAGATTTTTCTCTTTGTCATTTGTTAACTGTTGCTTTTTTGTGAAACTTTCTTTTGCTAAATATAGACATAGAGAAATGATATTATATATAGATATATAAATATATAGATATAAATGTGTACAAAGGAAAAAGTATATAAAAGGGTTTTCTCAGTGGGGATCTATGCATGAATTATTTTTGAAGATGACGATGAGGATACGACTGTATTTGTCAGTGCACGTTTCCCAAAACGTATGTGAATTCCATTTGTCTACTTTGGTCTGTTTGACCTTGCATAATAAGAATGGAAAAAAGTAATCATTTATTCAGAAGTGATGGTCGAAACAACCGCATAATCAGCGATTCATTTGTTTTTGATACAAGTTTGTTTTTTAATCAAATGTCCTCAACCAGAGGGGTTCTAGCATCTCCATCTTTGTATCTGTTTATGTTAAGGGTACTTGACAAACCATATCTGTTGTTGTTGCTGGTTTGTATGGAAATATTTGTCTTTGTTTCCATCAAGGTGAAAAACATGAGGAAGAGCTTTTGCTCTTCTCCAGCACATGCATACTCTCCCAATAGTGTGTGTGTCTTTGGGTGGAGGGTCCCTTATTTGACAGCATGTGGGCAGAAAGACAGAGAATAGGCAGACAGGGTGGATAATTCTCTTGGTCAAACTCTGAACTCAGAATTGTGCTTCTTCTTGCTGACTATCCAAACACCACCTCTCCCTCTTCTCTTCTCAGTCCAGATATTTAAGTTTGGGTTTTTTACACCAATGTTGCAGTAATCACTCATGCATACCCCACTGTGAATTCAAAACTCCAAAACTCCTGATGTCATCGTTCTAAACAATATTTGACCCCCAGTTTAGCTCTAGGACACTTCACAAGTCTAGGGCAGGTATTTTATTATTTTTGTATTATTTTTGAGGGTAGCTCAACAGTTGTATTTGAAACTTTTAAGCACACTGAGGGTAGCTGGTGGTCCTTGAAATCTTGGAGCCAAGCTGCAAGATCAAAAGGGAGGCCCTGGTCTCTTAAACAGGGTAAAAGCAACAAAAAAGTCAACTTCTGGTTTTCCTTTTCCTCTCTGTTTAAGTGACAGGGAATTGCAGGCGTACAGAATCTCACCAAAATATGTCATTGTTTTTTGTTTTTTTATTTTTTAAACAGGATGTTAACTGAACTCTTATATGAGCCCAGACAAGCCTCCACAAATGGTTATTCAAGAAGTCAGTTACTGGTGCTGTCTTTGCTTGTGTTCTAGCTCCAGAGCGTTTCATTTGTTTTCTGTTATATTACTGAAGGGTGATGGGCTGACCTGGAGGGCCATACAGACACGGCACTTTGCTCCTCTTTTCAGTCTTTGTTTGACTCCTGAAAGTGACACAGTGGGCACAATGTACAACACAGTAAAACTCACTGGGTTGCTTTGCAGGCGACACTGTGGGATTGGTTATGGACATAGAAAGTGCCAGCTGTTGAGACAAGACATCAGGAAAGGATTTAAAGTCAGACTCACAGCCTCAAATGTGGAAATCAACCCTACAAGATGAATGAGAACGAAAGAGTGAAATTGAAAGGCTCACCGTTCTCCCATCTCACTCCTCGGTCCGACAGATCATCAGCTCCAATTGGTGGCTGCCAGTGAAACTCTTTGTACTCATTCCCGTGGATAAGGAGACAGTGAGGGGTCAACAAAGCTACAATGATTCCAGTGTGGTGGGAAACAACAACATTCAGTTTTGTCTTTTACATTTTTTGTGGCTATTTTGTAAAGTAACGCTTTAGGGACACTGCACGTGTGGAGAAAACTGACACGATCTGTGGTGAGACACAGATGCAGCTTATGGAAGAGGAGCAAAACTGTACATTTTTAAGTGTAAGAATCGAACAGACAAATATTTGTAAATATATGTTTCTCGTTGTTTATTTCTGAGTGAATGGATGAATAAAATACTTATTTTGCGACAGTAACAGACAACAGGTGCAGTTTGCGGAAAGGGCCCTTATGAAGGTTTGTAAGGTTAATACATTTGACAATAATTTCTCCTTATTTATCATTTTCTTTGCCTTGTTTTGGTCTCACTATGAACACATGGGTATTCTGTAGCATAACAGTTCCTGGTTGGGAAAGTCACTGTAGCAGAATTTCCCAACCAGAACCCACATTACAATACAGTACACTCATCATGTGTGTGATTCCAATGAATAATATTTGTTGAAGTTTAATATTGTTTTTAAATGGATCATGGATACTCCTGCTGCATGAGAACTAGGACCTTTGAAGGCTGAAGTTACTAACACAAGACAGTTTTGCCTTTCTCTAGCTAACCTGATTCATAAAAATGTTGGTAACTGGCCAGGAACATACACTTAGGTGGGTACAGTCTGGTTAATGGAAGCTCACCTCACATGTAGCAGTGTTTACATGTTACCACTTAATTTGTGGGACAGATATGAGGGCTCTGAAACCGTAAGATGCCTCTTATCCTTAGAGAAGATGCCACTGAGCAGCGTGGCATTATGATGGTTAAGGTCGGTAAGACAATGTAGCAGGAGAGAGGGTTTTGTTTTTGGTGAGTTTTTCAGTCTTTGAGCTTGGGTTTGCGTATTCGATCAGGCTGGACAGGTGTAAGCACGTTTGACCAAGACATCTGACTGCAGCCCAGTGGTCTGTACCACCAGAATTGGATTCTCCTCATTTTGACTGCAGTGCTGCAGCAAAAACATAGGGGCCAATGTACACAAAAGTAAGGTTCTGTTGGAGAGGCTGTCGTGTGTAAAGCTGCCATTCGTGCAGTCATGATGCACATGTGTAAAGCTGCCATTCGTGCAGTCATTTGTTGGCTAGGTTTGTTATATATGACACGGACAGAAGCTACAACAGCCCACACTAGCAGATACACCTAGAGCAGGGCCACATATACATACTGTAGACTCCTTCACACACACACAAAGTTGCAAAGTTGCACCTGTTGTCTTGCTTTTCTATTATTTGTTGGATTCTGAAACCCAAGCCTTGAGATAAAGAAAATGTTAAATAATGGAATTAAAAAAATATGATTATCAAAAAAAAGGAAAACTACATAAATAAATGAGGTGATGATATTTCTGTTTACTTTAGAAGTTATTATACACTGTATGCTGTGATTCTGATCTGGGAAACATTAAAGAAATTCATAGCCAAAGTTTACATTATGCTTTTCTATTCTGAATGAATTCTGTGTGTACAACAACCTATTGAAATCCTTCAATAGTCATTAACCCAGTTTAGTTGCCCATTTTGTAATGTTACTTAAATTATGAATTAATGGTTTTGTCTTAATTTATTATATAACCAACTTACCCTTAGGACATTTGTCTAACTTCTAAATATTCCTCTATAAGCTGGACCTTTAGTCTCCGTAAATTAGGGTTGTAAGTCAAATTATTTTAAAGAGGATATTTGTATTTTTTTTAAAATACTAAAGCTATTTTCTCAACGTGGTAGGCGGTAGCTGACAGGCTAAGTGGTGTGTGAATCAAACTGCTGACTGCAATCGCATACACTTTAGCGTCTGAAATCGTGGAGTGAGCAGTTGTTTTGGTACTGTGAAGGCGCAGAAAAGGGTGATGAAAAAAGAAGACGCCACTTTTGGCTGAGACCGGTGGGTGGACCGGTTCTGAACCAGCATTCTGCGATTGGTGTAAAAACGGCTTTTCTCTCGCACATGGTGGTGAATCATCATGAATGGGAAACGACACGATGCACGTGAGTCTCACACAAGAAGTACACAACAACAAACATCCAAACGTGTGCAGTATTCTTTTCTGCAAACCAAATGACACTGGGATGGATAAAATGACTGCAGTAGAAGTTACCAGTGTTCACCATGCAGCATATGAACATTCATATCGGTCAACCGACGACAGAAAATCTCAAGAAAGATTTAGCTCCAGGGTCACTCTGTATATAGCTGTATAGAGTTCTACAACGATGCAGATATATATATTCACATAATATAACATTTGGTAGCTTTGTGCGATGTGCTTCACATTGGTAGGCTGTTCTAAGTTTTAATGATTCACAGAAAGGCTGTTGGCCTGCCACCTGCTGGATTGTGATACAGAATCAGTTTGGTGGCTGTGGAGTATTTTTTTTTTCTTCCTGTTTTGGTCACAGATGGCCATATAATTCACAGGAGTTGTTGGTTTTACAGAGACCATTTTACATTTGAATTGTTTAATTTACATGTGTGTGCCTTATCTGGTTATTCCATGTTAAATGTTGAAGAATGTTGAAGTTTTTGTTACTATTATTGAAGTAAAAGGCGAGATATGTGCATGTTACTTGGTTAAAAAAAAAGGTTAGCTGTAAATGGTTGTGGCTGTCCCTCCCACATAAACCTGCCAGTTTTCTGTCTGCAGATATGGCCTAGGTCACGAAAAGTAACGTTTTATAATAAAGAACTATTTCATTGAGTTATTTATTTCTTTAACAAAGTGCTGTGAGGACAGCTGACATACAGGTTGATAAGACATTCAGTATAAGCTCAGAGCCGACCGTTGATTACAATGGAAAGTGTATATTTATTTTCAACATTAATTTCTGTATTTATTTTAAATTTTTGGAGCTTGATATATTAATATATGTGGTCTGAATCCCCCAGCTGTTTTCTGGTCCTCTGTAACTCTTAAGTGATAGACCTCCAAATCATCAATAACATTTACTCACAAGAACATCTAGAAATGAAACAAGGTAATGATTGTAAGGTGAACATTCATCGTCCATTGACATGATCACGTAGTTTAGAGGGAAGTAGATTTAGCTGGTATTCTTGGAAACAGTCACTTTTATATACGTAACATTTAAATCAAGACACATTCAAAGCCCAGAAGCTTCTGTCACTTCCTTGTTGATGTTGGTAAAACATTTATGCTGTCTTCAGATCGCCGTTTCTGTTGTCAGTTTATGAAAGGTTTATGAAAGGTGGGGGGAAAAAAAACTTTATCCACGTTTTGAACAGTTCATATCAAGTATAATTTACAAATCTATGAGAAAATTCAAATGGATGAATATTTAAGGTTTACAACTCTGCCTTCTGCCTGCAGGACCATAATACAAGCACATTTTTTAAAGTACTATTTGGACAACACAGAACCTACAGTAATTCACATAACTGATTATAACCAGCCTGTGAGATACATTGGCCACCTTACTGTAAGTTTATGCTGCACAGATTTTATGTAGGAGTTTTTCCTGAATTATAATAATAATAATAATTATTATTATTGTATGACTTACTACTAATGACTTTAGCTCATCTGAAATTCAGAACATGTTTTTGCCTTTTTTATTTCCTTTTGTAACATTCAGTGCATGGTCGTGTTCAAATCAGATCAGTTTCCTGTAACGTCATTTATTTGTTGTAGTATATTGTTCTGTTGTGGGCTGAGCTGCAGAGCCTCAGTTTTTTTAAGATTTAATGAATGTGCACTAACCTCTTCATGTTTGTCCAGCTGAACAGGATGGAAGATATGGTTTCTGACATTTTATGATCTGTATTAATGTAAAAAAGAAATCAGAAATGTATTTAAGAAAGTTAATATTGATACTGAGCACACAGTGTACTGAGATACATTGATAATAATCAGACATTTTATTTTGTTTTTTAAAAGTAACATGTTTTACATTGGCAATTCTCTAGGTTACTACTGATAGTAATACAATTTTTTTAAAAAACCCACATTTTTCTTCCTACATCTGTTTCCCTTCAGGGGTCACCACAGCAGATCATCTGCCTCCATCTCCCCTCGTCTTTTCCTCCAACTATCTCCTTGTGCTCTTTTACATCATCCACAATTCTCCTCTGAGGTCTTCCTCTTCTCCTTTTTTCTGGTAGTCTCTAACATCCTTTGTCTGATACTTTCCTCTCCTCAACACATGTCCAAACCATCTCCACCTCACCTCTCTAACCTTATCTCCAAACTGCTCCACCTTAACTGTCCCTCTGATCGACTCATTTCTACTCCTGTTCATCCTCTTCACTCCCAGTGAAAATCTCCCTGTCTTCACCCTTTTCTTCACCTTTTTTGTCCTCTGTCCATTTCCCTGGATGGTTGACCCCAGGTATTTGAACCTAGTCACCCTGCTTTACTACCTCTACTCAACTCACATAATTCACTGTTACATATGACATTTATGATATGAGAAAACAAAAACAACAACAATTCAGTTAATGACATTTGTATATACATATCTGTATGTTATTAATGAGTTATAAAAGTCGAAAAAAGGTTACATTTCCAACAGAAAGGGGCACAAAACAGTTTTGGTTATTCATTCTTCAGGAGTTTTCTAAAATTTAAATTCCAGCATTTTACATCAAATATCAGATTTAATAAGATAATGGTAAGAGATAAAAAAAATCAAATGAGTTAAAAGAATGTAAAATATTTCTTTGCAGTGACTTATTTAGGTTACTTCTTGGTTCATAATATTTTTTTCATATATCTGACAGTGAAAAAATATTCTCTTTTTTCCCCCAAATGAATTCATCAACAAAAGTTAGAATAACGTAATGTTGTCAAGGCCATGATGAGAATAACTGCTCAACATGATTGTAGTTTTTTCTATTTACCTATTGACTTTCCGACACTCTCTTCTGCCTGTGACTTTGACACATTGTTCCAGGCTGAAGGAATATCTGCAGGCTGTACGTTGTATTTTTCTGCAAACTCCTTATTAAACTTTGTCATTACATATTTCCAGTAGTCAGATACGTGAAAAGATCCATCGGCAGGAATTCTCCAGTTTGGGTAAATGGCACGGTAATCTTTGTAAGGATGAAATTCACCCTTTGTTGCAGAACATCTGAAAGACACCCCACTGTCAACTAAAGTAGTGCATATATCAGTGTCAAGTTTCTCTGTGTCTAAAATGTTGTATGAATTCAGACCTTGTGGCCTATGTAGCTTAGCAAAGTGCTC